GTAAAACTTAATAAAAGACCTATACAGACATAATAAATTCAGACATAATTTAACAAAAATTCTAATAAATAACAAATACAAATAATACACATAGTAAGAAATGGTTATAAAAATTGAAACAGAAGTGAAACAGGTTGTAGGAAAGAGGAGAAACAAAAAGCGATACTTATTCTTTGCCGGTGTCCCTGCCCGGTGGAGTCGCACGGTAGAGTCGATGGTCTTTACACTCTTCAGTCTTCACACGAGGAGGCCGGCACGCGACGGCTGCCGCGCTAAACTAAGCTTTTTTATACCCGTCTAACAAAATAGTAAATTAATTCAGCTGGACACACTTTCCTTATTTTTTTCATAACAAATGGCCAAGCAAGCTAATGAGACAAGTAAATACACTTTCGAGCTGCTTTTAACTTCCGCTGATAAAGACTGCTTCTCTCAAAGAGTATTTCTTTACACAGTTTTCTGCTGGCGCTTGAACACACTTTCCTTATTTTTTTCATAACAAATGGCCAAGCAAGCTAATGAGACAAGTAAATACACTTTCGAGCTGCTTTTAACTTCCGCTGATAAAGACTGCTTCTCTCAAAGAGTATTTCTTTACACAGTTTTCTGCTGGCGCTTGAACACACTTTCCTTATTTTTTTCATAACAAATGGCCAAGCAAGCTAATGAGACAAGTAAATACACTTTCGAGCTGCTTTTAACTTCCGCTGATAAAGACTGCTTCTCTCAAAGAGTATTTCTTTACACAGTTTTCTGCTGGCGCTTGAACACACTTTCCTTATTTTTTTTCACAACAAATGGCCAAGCAAGCGCAGAAACTGACAAGATACGCGATACAGAACGAGAGCAAACGCGATATCAGCACGTCTCCACACAGTAAACAAAACAAGCATTTCCTAGCAACGACAACTGCACTAAACACTAATGAGACAAGTAAATACACTTACAAGCTGCTTTTAACTTCCGCTGATAAAGACTGCTTCTCTCAAAGAGTATTTCTTTACACTGTTTTCTGCTGGGGCTTGAACCCACTTTCCTTATTTTTTATCACAACAAATGTCCAAGCAAGCACAGACACTGACAAGATACGCGATACAGAACGAGACCAAACGCAATATCAGCACGTCTCCATACAGTAAACTTTTATATTATATAAAAGTAATATTATATATAAATTTTTATATTTGCTATACAAATGCATTTTCATGAATATAACCTGATTTCTACTATGTGCGAAATAGTAACTGTGTTAGTTAAAGGGGTCATATGATTCTGCTAAAAAGAACATTATTTTGTGTATTTGGTGTAATGAAATGTGTTTATGCGGTTTAAGGTTCAAAAAACACATTATTTTCCACATACTGTATGAAATCACATACTGTATGAAATCAGAAAATTAAATCAGTGTCTTCAAAAAGCTGGTCAGCAGAAGGAAGCATGAAGTGCTCCAAAATGTCTTGGTAAACAGGTGCAGTGATGTTGGTTTTCAAAAAATACAACGGACCAACACCAGCAGATGACATTGCACCCCAAATCATCACAGACTGTGGAAACTTAACACTGGACTTCAAGCAACTTGGGCTATGAGCTTCTCCACCCTTCCTCCAAACTCTAGGACCTTGGTTTCCAAATGAAATACAAAACTTGCTCTCATCTGAAAAGAGGACTTTGGACCACTGGGCAACAGTCCAGTTCTTCTTCTCCTTAGCCCAGGTAAGACGCCTCTGACGTTGTCTGTGGTTCAGGAGTGGCTTAACAAGAGGAATACGACAACTGTAGCCAAATTCCTTGACACGTCAACATGGCGGCGGCGGCAACAATACTACAACGAGAATAAAAGTAATGCCTTCTTTCATTGCGTGAACGTTTGGGCGGCATTATGCAAATCTTCCCAGATAGTGACATAGGTATGTGGGGGCGTGTTAGAACGAGCCGTTTTAGGTAGGTGTGGCTGACTCTTAACTTTTATAAAGAATATCTCTTTGGATTTGAGACTTTAGTCTTTGCAACTTTACAGATCTTCTTTATGCACCAAGAACTTGTAACACTCCAAAGAAAAAGGAAAAATTGAAATCGCATCATCTGACCCTTTAAAATATATGTTGTTTGCAATATAAAATAATTGGCTGTCCTGACATTATCGTCCTTAAGCCAAAATAATTAAGTATGTATTAAGTTGGCAGTGCATCTTTTTTCTATCATATCTTAGAGCAATGTTAGATTATATACCCAAAGAGAATCATTTTATAGCATTTTTCACAATAAATACTGTTCCAAAGCTGCTTTACAGAGAATATTGCCTAATAGCCCCCAGTGAGAAAGCTGAAGGCAACAAATGCAACAAGGAACTCTCCAGAAAGATACAGTACAAATACAAACTCTTCTTTAAAGTATGTACACTGCATGTACAGAGAAATAAGAAATGTCTCCTAATAGAATACAATAATAATCTCATGACTGTTTCCTTTAGGAAATTAGAATGAAATGTAATTCAATATTAAGGGCCAGTTTTACTTACAGCTTGCGCCAGCGCAAACCGTCTTTTGGCGTTAAAATAGTACTGTCAGGTTTTACTAAAGACGCGCAGTGAAGAATTAGCGCTGAAAAGGCGTGGACAGTTATTTTTGCGCCTGACCTTATTGAATATGCATTTGTAGGAGTTTCCCTTTCAAACGCAAAAGTTATGGGAGGAGAGTATTCAAATGAATCACGCAACGCATTTTACTAACGTTTGCGCTCGTCAAATTACTGGCATTTGCGCCATTATTTAACGTCCACCAAAAATCATGTCTTAAATTATTTTGCGCTTGAAATGGCTGCAATTATTGTTGCTATATAGGAGGAGGCACCACAGAGAACAGAGAGAAGGGTGGAAGGGAGAGGATTTTTCCACACGCATTAATTTATTTGGAAAGAACACATTATTTGAACATATCGTTTGCCAAGCCATGATATTTTTAATTTGCTTCAGGGAATAAAAGACGACTTGGAACCCTCAAGAAGGAGTCACGCAATGCCAGCTTTATCAAACCTTCTTGTAATCCTTCATTTTTTGGCCTTTGGTTCTTTTCAACGTACTGTGGCTTATTTATTTATTTATTCTTTATTTGCGACTGCTCTCATTTGCGCTGCGCTTGGTATATTGCGTTGGTCAATATGTAAATGAGATGTTGCGTCTGTGTTCTTTCATTTGCGCGTTGTTAGTAAATCACCTGCAGAAATTTCCACGCCCATCGGTGCTGTTTTGGAATTGCACTCTCACGCTAATTTGCCCTGTTTAGTAAAACTGGCCCTAAATATCAGAATATTAACATTATTGCAAATGTTTATTTATTTATTGCATTTTTATTTACATTTTTCTTCTGTACAACATCCCACCATCTTTTGACCCCCTGGGGGTCTGCTGGCCCCAGTTTGAAAGCATTAAGAAATTCAGAGCTCTTTTTTAATATACCCAAACAAATATAAAATCATCACTTTGAGTTTGGTATACAATGCGATGACATTTTAAGGAAGTCTCTGTCATGCAGTGCACAGATGCCCACATTTATCTTGCTCATGGATCATTTACTAAGTTAGCGCAGGTCACATTGATCAGCTCTGTGTGAAGGTTTGTGCAGACTTTAGTGGGGTCAGTGCACTTAAAGGCTGGCTGGTTGAAACGGCTGGAGTAAATTAGCAGGCCTTTTAGAGGGCTAGATTCTGACATCAAAGCTGGAATAGATAATGAGGCCAATAGTCTTCCTACCTCAAATCACTAATCACCAGTCTTTTTCACACACACACGCTGATGCATAGGCACATATTTTGATTGGACTGCTCCCACAGAATAGTTCTAATTGTGGCAAATGTTTGAAATGGAAATTGATTCTGAGCTATTTATGCACCATTTCAGATGCAGTGACTCTTACACCTCAGAGACCCTGTCAAACTTCTGCATTCAAGTTCTGTCAGAGATTCTGCATTATGGTTATATTTACCAATCTATAAGCCAGGAAACATTTACACCTAATACCATTCAGTGAGACTGCATATTAAATGCATATCCTCCATTAGGCGAACCCCATTTTTAGCATTCGCTCTGACAGTAAAATCCAAAAAAACCTCCAGGGTTTTTTTTTCAAGCATAAGATTCAATGTACCATAATTAATGTATTAATGATATGATCTGATTTAAAAATGACCCCTTTTGGAAGCTAATTCAGACTGTAATGGCAAAGAGCATTTATGAAACAGCTGTTTAGCATTCAACAAACTCTGGCCTCACTCGCTTTTTGTTGTTGCTGTGTTAAAAGGATCCATCCTGTAAATGTCTCCTGCACATAATCAAGACCTCCTGCCCCCAAAACACACTACTGAAAATATATGATATGAAATATCAGATGGCTTTTAACCATAATGTGATAAGCATTTTTCCTCACAGGTTGCATGGGTCAGATGGAACATTTAACCACGTATGCAAGTATCCAGCAGCCTTTGGGGGCATCTGTACAACTGCTAGGATGACTTACTGTATAAAGCCAAAGAAATCCCTGAAAGTTTGTGGACCATGAGGGTGTGATTATGTGTCTCTCCCCACATTCAATTCCTGTGGCTCCTGCTGCCAGCTTCTACAGTGCCAGAACCTCATAATCCTTGTTAAAGTATCTCAAAGCTGACTTTGACCTCCATCCAAACCACAGTAGGATCGGCGGCGCTCCATCACTGAATAATTCTGGCATTAATTCTATGAATTGTGGCTGCTGCTGTAAGGCTCTTTTTCCACTCATCAGAGCTGTTTAGGAATAAATCACAGTGGGATTGTGTTAAGAGTGCTAAAGAAGATTAAGTCCAGGATTTATTAGAATGGGTTATATATTAAATATCAATTAACAATAATAGATATACAGGTATTTATGGTTCAGAAGTGACCACTATTGCAGCTGCAATATATTACTTGGTCAAAATGTTATTCGTGTTCTTTGATACAAGACTTTTTTTTTCTTTTCTTTTTTCCACAGGAGTACCAGATTGACATAATATTTGCACAGACGTGGACAGACAGCCGGCTCAGATATAACAGCACTATGAAAATATTGACTTTGAACAGTAATATGGTTGGACTCATTTGGCTACCAGACACTATCTTCAGAAATTCCAAGAGCGCAGATTCACATTGGATTACTACACCAAATCAGCTCCTTAGAATATGGAATGATGGGAAAATACTTTACACTTTGAGGTAAGCCATTTTTAATAATCTGATATTTGTGAAAGTAACTGAATAAAAATGCAATGTTATTTAAGATTAAACTTAATCTTAAATAACAAAACTAAGTAATTATGGGGAAAAATATCTGTAGCAAGATCTTTTATGTAGAATAAAATATTCAGTTGCTTTCTATACTTATGGAACTTGAGCACACAGAATGTGCTCAATTGTTTTCTAAGACATTTTAAATAAAAAGTCAAGAAGCGTTTTCTTTACTGAAATATGAAACTGTTAATGTGAACCACTTCATCAGTGACAGTGGGTCACTGATTTTCAGTGTCTTTATTGAAATGTTTTTGTTTGCTACTTTTCATCTTTGCAAGATATTTTGTTGCAGAACACAAACAATTGTCAGTCTAGTCGATTCAAATAAGGATCACCCTGACAAGGCCACCAGAGGAAAAAAGTACATTTTTAAAACCCACAAGCTTTTGACAAGGTCATCATAACAACACTGCATGAAAGGTATAAGAGAAAAACTATTTGCAAAACAGGATGTAATAATAAAGCAGACCGTAGGTCAGCGTCAGTGGTCTAGTTTCAGGATTCTTGCAACAGAGCGTAAAGTACACTTGTGATTTTTGTTTACTTTAATCAGTACTATTAAGTAAGCTAAATACTTTAGATTATATAAATAAATATATATAATTTTATATATTCAAAATTATACTTTGCATAATGTCTAAAGAAAACTCTGAGGCAGGGGTTCTCAACTCTGACCCTTGAGGTCACTCTCCTGCAGAGTTTAGCTCCAACCCAGTAACGTTCTATTAATCCTGCCCTTACGAAAGTGTAATAAAAGTGTAGTAACCATGTTTTTTTGGCATATTGATTACCATTTGTATGATCACAGTTTTACACAAGTGCCATGGTTAAACTATGGTTCATTTGTGGTTACAATGGTTTAACTGTAGTAACCATGTGGTGTTATTGGTCACACTTTATATTAGACAGACTTAAAGGGATAGTTCACCAAAAAATGAAAATGTTATGTTTATCTGCTTACCCCCAGGGCATCCAAGATGTAGGTGACTTTGTTTCTTCAGTAGAACACAAATTATGATTTTTAAGTCCAGCCGTTGCAGTCTGTCAGTCGTATAATGCATGGAAATGGTAACAAAATCTATGAGAGTAAAAAAAACATGCACAGACAAATCCAAATTAAACCCTGCGGCTTGTGACGACACATTGATGTCCTAAGACAAGAAACGATCGGTTTGTGCAAGAAACCGAACAGTATTTATATAATTTTTTACCTCTGATTCACCGCAATGTCCAACTTCCTTGAGCGCGCGCACGGCATCCGATGCGTGAGATGTGTACGCGCTCTGGCGTAGTTTACGCAAACGCCGGAAGTGATCTCTCGCGCATATACGTCACTCATTGTTTACAAAGTGCACAGTCATTGTAGGTACGACGGCTAATCAAAATGGTACTTACTTGTGCTTATCCGGATTGTTCAAACCGACTTAAAACTAAAACTAAAAGATTATGTTCTCTCGCGCAAACTCATTCGGGAGTGGTGACTTTCCACGTATTCTCAACTTCTAAGCCTGCTCGCCTGAAGTTATGGTTGATTGCTCTTCGGCTGGATATCAACACACCCATTAACGTAAATTACGCCAGAGCGCGTACACACCTCACAAACCGGATGCCGTGCACGCACTCAAGGAAGTTGGACATTGCGGTAAATCAGAGGTAAAAAATGATATAAATACTGTTCGGTTTCTCGCACAAACCGATCGTTTCGTGTCTTAGGACATCAATATGTCGTCATGAGCCACAGGGTTTAATTTGGATTTGTCTGTGCATGTTTTTTTTTACTCTCATAGATTTTGTTACCATTGCCATGCATTATACGACTGATAGACTGCAACGGCTGGACTTAAAAATCATAATTTGTGTTCTACTGAAGAAACAAAGTCACCTACATCTTGGATGCCCTGGGGGTGAGCAGATAAACATCAAATTTTCATTTTTGGGTGAACTATCCCTTTAGCTACTATGTACTTTCATTTAAATTAATCATTTGATACAGTAAAATGCACTTATTTTGTATATATGTTTTTACATTGAGCTTACATTTTAAAACCTCAATAGCCGCAAAAGGGTTTTTGCAATACAGTATGAACACAATAAGTACATTGTACTTATTTTTGATGTAAGTACATAGTAGTTAAGGCCACCTAATAAAAAGTGGGACCGTTTTGTTTATAGTAAAACCATTATTCATTTTTGTAAGAGTTTACAGTGCCTGTGGCCTGCAGTTGATTACTGAAGAACAGAATTTTGACTTGTTCCTCATGTGTTTAAAGTAATGTACTTGCAGTGGAGACCCAACAAGATATCTGGAGGGAAATGTCAAGATGTTTGTGGTTGTTCTTTCAATTTTTTCAAGCGTTTTAGGCCTGGGGGATAAAACGGTATCGATATTTATCGACGGTACACCTTCGATAACGATATAAAAAATGTTAGATATAGTGCACGATATAGGCATGTGCTATGAGTGATGGCAGACGGCACACACAAACAGGAGCACAGTTGCCTGCCTGTGATGAGGAGATTGTGAATTAAAAAAATGAATATTAGTCGAATTTAAAATAAACATTTGCATTTGAAAGCAAAAATAGTACAATGAATGTTAGGTGTGAGCGTCATCAGTGGAGCACGAGATGCGGTGATGATGATGATGTAAGTGACGTTGTAGTTGAATGTTTTGTTAGTCTAGCCCACGAGACGCGCAGTTGCTGCGTTATTCATTCAAAATATTAGAGAAATATAGAAGCTGCAAGGTTAAAACTGCTGCACTCGTGTCTCACACAAGATATGTATAGAAAGCCATGCAAAGTTAAAACAGTTTAAACTTTTAGAAAACACGTCACAAATTTGTGAAGGTTTATTCCTTTTCACTGCGTCTCATATGTTTTTAAAGGCAATCTGTGTGACTGCGATTCGGCTCTTTGTATTAAGCAATGCATAAATACGTAATGCTGTTTTGTTCATAATTGTTTATGCAATTTACAAAATTATATTTGATTTATATGAGTTAATTTAGACGTAATGCACGTTTTTTTACTAGACAGTTACTTCCTTGCATTGACAATTTAATGTGCTGTATTATTTTGCTCATTGTGGCCTCGGGAGACAAGCCAAAAGTTTAACCTATTTAATCTGCATATAAAACATTAGAAAT